AGTTGCTTATATGTAAAAATACATTAGGTACTGCATTGGGTACTTTTGTTTGTCTCAATTAGAAATTGTATCTATTACAAAAAAAATTATTCCCTACACTCACGGTTCAAGCCCTGAAAAAAATTAATAATGAAATCCTATTGAATATATTCGCTCATGATTTTTCACCACATTGAACGTGAAATATGCACGATATTTAATATTTCATTACCTACATATTATATAATTATTTCCTATAAATTTCTAGTTTATATCAACTACGTTGTCATTAATTTAATGAAACATTGCTCCCTTTGATGCTAACAAATTAAAATCGTGTAATGTAGCCTATCAGCAGCAATTTCTAAACAGGTCAACCAAAATTCCTACAAGAAACTTCACATCAAACCGTAATGGTGGTGCGTTTAAAAGCCTTTGATCCGCCTATGTTCAGGCCACAGGGCTTATGTATCGAATTGCACCGGATTTTCCGGAAAACAGATATTGTCTGAACTATCGTGACCTGAATTTTTGCAACATCTTGGAAGGAAAATTCGTCGTCGCCTCTCGATTTTTACTTTTTTTTTTTTTCGTTTGGCTCCTGCCGGTTCCCGTGTCGTCCTCGCTAAAGCAATCAAACTCGTTTCGCACATGGAAATGGCAATTTAAAAAGTTCTTGAACGATTTTTTTTTTGTGAAAGTGCACCTGTTTATAGTAATGCTATGATATGGTATTTTTCATTAGATGTTACAACTCCATACTTCACCTAGTAATAATTGTAATTAAGTAAGTACATAGGAAACTGTATGATTATTCAAAAACTGTACATAGGATTGAATTGATACTAACATGGAAAGGTTGAGGGGGTAGTCAGAAACAGGAAAATATCAGTGGCTAGGGATGGTAGATCTCGTAAAAATTGAGCTTTTTTTTGATAAACATAGGTATCTCCGGAAATGCTTCGCTTTCTAGATACAGGGTGTTAGACTTTGTAAAAAAAAATAATTTTTTTATTATTTCTTGGAAATGCGTTGGATGAATTAAATGATATTTTTACAGTTTATTGACACTCTTATAGGGTATCTTTTGTACTGCTCAGAGTTGACCCAGTAATTTCAGGGGCGTGTCCACAGGTTATGTCGGATGGTGTTTTGCACGAAAAACATCACAAGTAGATTTATTTTCAATTAGGATATGTTTTTTAAATAAAACCCCCAAAGATACACCTTTTTTGTCTCTTCATTTTTTCCGTATGTTGCTTTGTTTTCGCGATAAAATCTAAAAACTATTTTCGGCGAACCTCGAACATCACTGACCTCCATAAATAAAAAATAAACTGCCTCAGAATTGCCTGAAATTTGACCAACCTATTTGTTGCTTAAAAATAAACAAAAAATAACAGAAATTTTTTTTTCTAAAACGCACGCATTTCATAGAATTAATAAAAAAATTGACTTTTTTTTACAAAGTTTGACACCCTGTATCTGGAAAACGCAGCATTTCCGGACACATGTTTATTAAAAAAAAAAGCCTAATTATCATGAGATCTAGCATGCCTAGAAGTTTGTAACAAACCTTTCGTGACACCTATACAAAACTGCGTTTTTCCAGACCCTGAGAGAGCCTTTGAACGTTTATAATTGACATGAATAAATTGTTAAATAGTAGCAAGTGTCCATTCGAAACTCACGACATCCAAGGAAGAATCAAGGATCGACTATAAATTCGGCACTTAGTACTGGATCATCAATAGGCCGACCAAAAATCAGTTAGTTTGTGTAACCCAAATAGAAAAAACATGTATATACACAGAATATAAAAATGTGGGTTGCTTTTTCTCGCTTTTCCATCCACATAATAATTATTATTTTTATTGGTTAATACATTCTATTTTCCACAATTTGAAATGGTATGAAATACATATATTTATCTCCTCCAAAAACCAATATAAACTTTATCGCAAGTTTATTCTGGTCCCTCGAATCTTGTACAATCGATCGAAGTATGTGTAGTTTGTCATAGAAAAACGCGCAGCTTTAAAACGTAGAAAATCATTTATTTTTGGGGGGTGGTAATAAAAATGAAATATTAGCGCCTCTAGCATTGTTCCAGCGACTATTTGTTCCAAACTTTATCAATTTGATATTAGACCCTAGAGTGTATCAATAGAGGGAAAAACACCAAAACGTATATATCGCTTGCCAGGGCGTTTATTATTTGATATATTGTTTCTAATATAACACGATAAATCCGGCATCGACTTATATTTATATGCTGAATTTGGGTTCGTTTTCTGTTTACTAAAAAGATTATTTTCCTCGAAACAAAGCGCCAGAGGATCTAAGAAGCATGAAAATTGCCAAGAAATTCTTAAAATTTCTAAAAATAAAAGCAATTTTTCACACCATTGAGGATACATTGTATCCTTTAAAAACATATTGAGTCTCTATCCCATTCAATGACAGAGCTATAGCATCGCCTTTTTGCAACAATCCAATTTCCTGAAGCAACATTTGCCGACAGGAAAATATTAACCTATTTCACGGTAAACACTTTATATTATTATTTTTGCGCTTAAATTTTTCACTTTCTGGTTTCATATTAATATGTTCGTTAAGGGGAAAAATGAAAAATTTTCGTTTTTAATAGGTTTCACTGTTTTTTTTTTTTTAAATTTTAATCAGTCCATCATTTATCATGATGCCAGTACAAATAATATTTAGGCAACACACGTTAAAAATTAAAATACGGAATTTCTGTAGGCAGTTTTAAAACATCCATCAAGAACTGGATAGACAGAGAGTTCCAGAGCTGGTGGCAGCAAAAACCAGGATAAGAAGAAGAATTGCAGAAAACAAAACAACCTGATGTATTTCTCGTTAAACAAGTATTATGAAAGAACAGAAATAAGATTTCTGTGAAATGGTTGGGATCTGATAAACCTCATAACAGTTGGATCGATAAAACCAAAGATGTGGTTTGAAACTAGATTTCTTAGATTGACCGGCTCATTTGCAATCATGAGCTTGCACTGTAAAGTTTGTGATGAAGCCATTTTTTCCCATTCACATTATCTAAGTGATGAACATAAAATAAAGTGCTATACGGAGTGTGAACTCAATGTTTAGATTATCAATTCAGTTTTCAAAATTCGGATAATTTCCTATAGATTATACGTTAATGCGCACCTGACCAGTGAAGGACTTTCTTTAGAAAAACCTGAACATGTGTGACCAATTGGTAAAATTCCTATCAGGGGAAAAAATATAGAAGATTGTATTGCTGACGAGGTGAAAGACTTACCAATTGGGTTGTTTTACAATATGTCGATAGTACTACACTTTTAAATATTTGGGGAAAACTACCAATTGAACACAGGCGTGCTTTCGAGTTGCAAGTAAGACTTCCTTGTTTCTTTCATCATAACAGATCTGATTGGAGAACACATGTAAAATCTGTTTTTTTTTTTTAAAGATAAAAGTCAGAATGACATTATGTTGGCAATATAATGTAAAAGTGTCAATACTTTCAAATTTTTTATGTAGAAAAGGCTTGTGTTGCCAACATAGTTACTAAATTTTTGACTTGGGGAATTATCTTTAAAAAAAAAACGAACTTTAGATGGACCTCCCTCCTCACAAAACAAATGTTATCTTTGTATAAGAGCTCTAACTAAATAGTGGTATGTTTCATTCATCCAACAGCAATGGTTTGGATCAGTTTCAATTTTCTTGCTCTCGCCGCAGTGGTTCAAAATTTCCTCTATATACATGTACCATGTACGAAATATCAAGGCTCAGCTGAAAACGGATAGCTATTTCAACGATTTATGGATTCCGCTTCACTACCGCCTTATAGACAACGATCGTACACCTACTTTCCAGACAGGACTTCCAACATGCCAGAATAAATTCTACCAATATAAATTGCAAGTGGAAATTTGAAATAAAAGTATTCAAGCAAGCAGGAAATGGACATCTATCGGTATTGGACCACAGCAAGAAACCCTCGCCAAAATTGAAATCTTCTGCAGAAACCAGACTATAAACTCCACTACAACAGAAAATATTTCCGATTCGAGACCTGATGCCTATACTTACTTAATCTATACTTGTATAAAAATCATAGCTGTAGTTTTTGGTATTTTATTGTCTAGAATGTTCCACCTTATCACACCGATTTTTCGGTACCTCAGATCAAAGGTATCGGAAAATTTCCCAGGCTCAGGTGCCCCCGCTAGGTTGACAGATAACGTTACTTGGGTTTAGTTGGAGTAGCCCGGAGTCAATGAACTATAAACTACACGTATCTGGAATGGCACCGACCGTTGTCGGATATGGCATTTGTCATCTCGCTTAGTGCGTCCAAAAAAGCTAGTTCGGATTGGCATATTCCTAACCTCGAAAAAAATATTTTTTAGACAAGGAAAGATTTCCATGATTCGCCAATAAGATAAATAGAGATGTGTGTAACCCACATTCTCCATCTCAATCTGCCGCAAATTTATAGATCGGCGGGCCATTCCAGGTACGTGTAGTTTATAGTTCATTGCCCGGAGTAGGTCAAATATTGATAGATGGCGTCATTTGGGTAAGACACTGACAGATGAACTGGTAGATTGATGCACTGGTGCGCGGTGTGATGGTGAATTAACTCTATCAGCTGGCAGATGGTTGCACCGCCTGCTCTAAGGTTGCACCGGTGCGCGGTGTGATGGTGAACGACTTTGCCATCTCTACTGACAGGCAAAGGTAAAACCTTACTTATGAAGAAATCAAAGTATTTTGTTAGTTGTGAATGTTTCGGTCACTTTAAATAGATAAGTACCCCATGAACAATTTCTGCAGAGGGGCCCAAGAAAAATGTTGCACGCTACTGGTTCAGAATCAGTTCGGAATTAAACTGCGCTTGCGCATTCGTTTATATATGAAACAAATGCGCAAGCGCAGTTCAATTTAGAACTGATTCTGAACAAACCTATCATTTATAGATTATGGGACGTTTTGTCTAGTCAAATAATCTAAAATCAAAACCACCTTCCTCAATGAAGTTGTCAGTTATTGTCCACATGACTTTGACCTAATCAAAGTAAATTTCTCGACCTCTCAATGTAAAACTTATTTTATATTTCAATCGAAATTAGATCATAATTCATAGAATTTTAAAGCCAAAAATGACATCTGAAGAGCAAAATAGCAGCGACAAATCCATCACAACAACAAGTATCGACAGCGATGAAGATTCAACGTTTCAAAGCCTCTTCGGAATCTCCAAAACTCAATTCCTTGAAGCTGCACGAGCAATGTCCGACGACGAAGCATCTGGTGCTTCAAATAAACGTAAATCAATATTCACTTCGGTGTCTAAAAAGCCTTTCAAATGTCCTCATGGGCCGTGCAATAAAACCGTGAGCTTGAGTCAATATTTAACACATTTTAAAGTTGAGCATAAGAAAATTAAATGTTACGAAATCGAACGAAATGATGTATTACTAATGCCTTTTAACGTAGCTTCAATTATCAATAGTTGTAATATTTGCTTAGCAATGATAAAGCTTTATGAAATGAATGTCACAGATGTTTCACCATGTGGAAGCTCAACCGGAAAAGTTCACACAGAAAGTTTTTGGTTAATGGTCACAGGAATACCGAAAAAAAAATCTGCGAATTGCTCCTATTGTGTCATTTGGCTATTTACTTCCTCAGAAGATTCCTATAATTGTACGTTGGAGTTAGGCACAGAGGATGATTCCATGACATTTTCAACATTCGGTAAAGTGGCCAACGCTTTTGATAGAGATTGTATAGATATTGCGCACATAAAAGATCGAATACATAGTCTTGTTTTAACGAAAAAGTCGCTCCTAAATATGTTGAATACAGGCTTAGCGTTAAATTTACAACTTACTGTACACTGAATTGGTTTAATATAAAATATTATGATATCAATCTCAATCCTCAGTTTTTTATCTTTCTAGTGTATCTTTTGTGTGAATTCTTATTGTAGAATCATCTACACTTCTCCAGGGAGAATTATGTTGTCCAATTTTTGTTCCAACTTGAACTCAAAATATTATATCATTCGATATTAATTTTTCTATCGATACCTACCTGAGATGGTTTAGTTTTCCGCAGTTGATGTTTACCTATATCTTTAGATCCAATCCAACGATTCAAAAACATCTTCTAATGTAGTATAATTTTCAAGAATATATTCAATTTCGTAATAGACAATAAATTGACAATTTATATTGAAGTAACGTTACGGCACTGGTTCTTGTTCTGCCATGCTTCACCCAGTTGTGTCTTGTATAATTTGCCCATAAATAAGACCGCCAGCCTCCCTTAAGTTTTATTTTGACCCGGTCACGTACCGCGGGCCAGCCACAGCTTCACTGCCTGCATATTAAAGGTCTTAATTATTAGTAATAGCTGTTAAAACGGAAATAAATCAGCGAGGGTTGATTTTAATTCACCCCAGAGAAAAGTTTTGTTTTTTGGAAAACTTAATAACACTAACCAGTTTTGTAAAACTTAAAACCTCACATCAAAACCCAGATAAGCGTGTCAATGTAAACCGTCCCCCAAATTTATTTTCACTCTCCATCACATAAAATCAAAGCTTCAGTTTACCACATCAGACAGGCCGCAAAAACAGCCGCAACCTGGAAACCTCTTTACTTAATGAAAACCCATCTAAAATACTTGTTAAACCACAAACATTCTGGAAGTGAAGTAGCCGTTATTACCGGACAAAACATGTCCGACATTGCTGGCTGGAACGCACTTGTTACTTGGGAAATTGAGAGGCCTTTTGTCCAGGCTAAAGTGATTAATTCACGAGTACGGCGATAAGTAAAGTAAAATTTATTTAGAATATCATATATTTATTCTCACGATGAATCTTTAATTAAATTATAATTGGTTTAGGTATGAAACACATAAATCTCAGCTACCTATAAAACGCGTCGGAGTATTGTTGAGTGGTTCTTGTGTCTATCCATCAGTAGAGCACACAATTATTATAATAATTCTATTTTGTCTAAAAATTAATTTATGGCTTTCCAGTAGTTACCTTATATACTAAATTGATCTAGAATGACAGGGAACTCCGAACTCGAAAATCTAAGGTTGACTAGTCAAAAGTAAATTGGAACACTCTTGTCTAAAAATTCATGAAGAAATTGAGATACTAATGAAATCAAGACATCCAGAAGGAAAATGAAAGTAATTTCATCTCATTGATCTGCCAAAGATCAAATATTTGAAAAACACATTTAGAATCTGCCAGAAAAACAACCCTGAGTATTACCATTGGATATCTCTACAACAAATCTCAATGAGAATGGAGGCTAACGGAGAATTTAAAAGATTATTACCTTGATTGTTGATTGATTTGAAAGGCAGCACGTAGACGCGAATGTGGTCCATTCTGCTATCCCTCTTTTGGTGCAGCCCTGTTCTACCTGAGGAGCCCGCAACTATTAAGAAAGGTGCAGATCCGCTCAGGCCGGACATGCTTTATATCATCAGGTTCCAGGAAGCTGTACCCGAGATATCCTAGTTTGCAACTGACGAGGGCATCACATTTCCAGACTATATGCTTGGTAGTTTCATCTACTTCGCTGCAGAACCTACATTTCGTCTCATTGCTGAATCCAATTTTGTGTAGGTGGTATCTGACCCCCCAGTGTCCCCGCCGTCAGGACGCCTGTAATGGCTCTCAGTTGGCCTCTGTTTAGTTTTAGGCTTTTTGCCTCTTTGCAGTTTGAAGGACCTTGTATAAAGATCCTTAAGTGTCTGAGAACCTCCTGTTCCAGCCATTCGTCTTGGAACCGCTTGTTGGACCGGTTCCTAATCTTGGTTTTCACCAGGCAGGAAGCAACCCCAAGAGCAGGCTCGGTCCCAATAAAGGCAGTCTTGCTACCTTCACGAGCCAGCTGGTCTGCCTCCTCGTTGGCTTTTATGCACCTGTGATCCGGGACCCAAACAAGAGTGACCTTGTTGACCCCACTGAGTAGTTTAAAGGTAATTATACAGTCAAACGTGCTTGCCTGAGTAACTTTTCTGAAGATGCTCCTGAGCACATATATTGCGTAGATTTCAGTCTGGTATACCGGTGGGTATCGACCCAGTGCACGACTAATTCTTGCCACAGGTCTCTCCCCATATACACCAGCCCCTTCACCCTTCTCCGTCAGAGATCCGTCTGTGTACCAGATGAACTCCTTCGGCTTGAGAAAGCCTAAGTCAGGCTCTAGCCAGTCGTCCCTTGCAAGGATGACGACCTTGTAATGTCTAGGAGAGGCTGAGGTTTTTGGCATTGCATCAGTTCTGATGAGAAGGGTTCCTGCCTGATGGTGTCAGTCCAGGCTCTTGCATGTCCCGTATCCAAACTTCTGTGAACCCATTGTCCCCAATCCTTGAGTCTGACAGAAGCCTCCCGGGCCCGTGCCTCCACAAAAAGATGGAGAGGCATTATACCCAGTATGGCCTCCATTGTCAGTGTTGGGGTGATTCTTGAGGCTCCAATTGTAGCCATGCAGGCAAATCGTTGGAGCTTGTCCAGCTTTACCCTGTAGATGGATTTGCTTAGCGCGTTCCATCAGATTAAGCTGCCGTACGTGATCATTGGCCTTATCACTGCTGTATAAAGCCAGTGGACTATGTGGAGTTGTAAGCCCAAGGTGCGTCCGTGATCTTTCCAGGTCAGCCTAAAGTCAATGATGACTCCTAGGTATTTGACCATACCAGATAAAACAAGTCTCGATCTAAAAAGCGTGAGCCCTTCCAGGTCCATGTTTCTCCGCTTTGTAAATAGTACTATCTCGGTCTTGTCCGGATTTATGGAAAGCTTGTAATTTTTACACCATCTTTCTACCATATTAAGAGCTCTTTGCATGATCCCTTTGATGGTGCTGGGTTCCCCTTTCAGCCACAACGATGACAAGATCGTCAGCATAGCCTTGAGTTTACATACCTTCCTCGTTCAGAGTGCGGAGCAGCCCATCGAGTACCAGGCACCTCAGCAGAGGCGACAGTACACTCCCCTGCGGGTAGCCCCTAGCTACGGTTGAGCTGATCTTCACACCAATCGAGCTAGTTGAATTGTTTGCTGGCTGATTGTTCCATATGTGAAAAAAATGGATTGTATTTTAAAAGCGATTGCTGATTCGCGTTGGCGTCGCGACCCGAGAAAATGAGCAACCTCGCCCTGCAAAGGTTTTGTTTGTACTGCCCGGTCTGCCTGTGCGCCCTGCCAGGGAAAGGGTGCTAAGTCTTTTTCCCATAAGCCTCACTGTCCTTCCGCTTAATACGCCGACAGGTCGACATCATCCAACCATTGTAGCACTTCGCGCGCAAATTCAAATTTAAATCGCGCAGCGCATATGGAAGAAATGTACCACGCGCATAATACGCTTTGCAATTAGATTAACTGTTATAAATTTTATAACACTTGTTGTACCATTACCGACGAATTTCTGAATTTTCAATTTTCAATTATTTAGTTCGTTAAGGAAAGAGCACTTTTAAAATAACTTCGACGAGGATTGTATTTCCGAAAATTCAAAAAATCGGCAACTACGATTTACCTATCTGGTTTTACGAGCGATAAGTATAAATTTACCTGAACGATGACTCGTTCTCTGCTCTCTGGTAGGACGAATTTTTCCTGCATTGATTGAGGTTCTTCAAGTGTGGCGATAAAATAGCCTGGCCAATCAGAGGCATACGAAAAGTCGGACAAAAAATAACACGACAAATAATAAAATGATAAATTCCAATCGCATGGTCAATAGACAATTTACCCTTTACCAACTATAAAAATATTCAAATAGTAAGTATTGAACATACAGCCAACCTTAAAATAACCCAATTATTTTAACATAGCAGGAAAAAATATAAAAATAAACAAAAAAATTTTAAAAAGAAATAATAATGATAAAAAATATTCCAACCCAACATTCAAATTTGAATTACCGAAAAAATACAAAAACATTTAAAAAAAAATCTAATCTTGTGTAGGATCAAAATTTGGTAATAGGCAAAGCTTGGAAGCTGGTCTTTGTAAAATAACATCACAAGTTTTGATTGTAAAAACTCGGCATACACCATCAGCCACTGGATGAGCTTCTAAAATCCTTGCCAGACGCCAACGCAAGGGTTTACGGAGTTCGTCTTTCACAACGACCAAATCCCCGACCTTTAAATTGGAGTGTTTGGTTGTCCATTTTGAACGTTGTTGCAGAGTATTCAAATAATCGTGATGCTAACGCTTCCAAAAATCATTATGTAATCTCTGCAATAACTGCCAACGCTGCAAAGTATTTATTTTGCAATCAGCATAGTCCTCACAAGGCAAATACGTTAAGGGCTCCAGAGTCAAAAAATGACCAGGAGTCAATGCTGAAATATCGTTTGGGTCGCTACTAGTAGACTACAAAGGTGTGGATTGCAATATTGCTTAAATTTGTACTAAGATGGTATAGAACTCCTCAAAGGTGAAGATCTGAAGACTAACCACTCTAACAAGATGCGATTTCATGCTACGAACCCCTACCTCCCACAATCCTCCGAAATTTGGAGAGGCGGGAGGATTGAAGTACCACTTTATCCTTTCAGCCACTACGGCGTCCCTCATAAGCTCGACAAGTTGCCTGGAAGCCCCTACAAAATTCGTACCGCAATCTGAATGCACTTTGTTGCAGCGACCACGTCTTGCTATGAAGCGACGAAACGCTGCTAAGAACGCATCGGTACTCAAGTTGGAAACAATTTCCAGATGGATGGCCTTAGCTGCATAGCAAATAAAAATCCGAACGTAGGCCTTTTGGGACTTGACACCTCTGGATTTTCCTAGAGTAACGAAAAAGGGAACAGCAAAATCTACACCAATCTCCTGAAAAGGTTTTATCTGAGAAAGGCAGGTAAGTCACTCATAAAAG